TTATTCTTGAGACAATTCTAGGCTAATAGGAAGTTCTCAATGTCGTTGAGCTATTTGAGCAACATATGGCAGGAGAGGAATGGGTCCTTATAGTCTTATATCGACATGTTCCATAGGGAGCTTCATAAGGTGGCTAATACACTTGAAGATTCGGTTCGAACTCTTATTATTGCGGGAGTTTGTCCACAAACCAACCTATGGAAGAAACTGCAATTTGAGGATGACATTTCCCTCACCCGCTTCTACAACCTCATTGAGAAATATCTCAGAATCAAAAATTCAGTATTAGCCTTGAACTGCCATGATCCTGATCCTTTGACCAGTGCTCGTAGTCGGAGGAAGGAAAATGAGGTAAGAATAGTAGAATGTCTGATTGTAAATAGGCTAACGATGATCAGAGAAAGAGGAAAAAACAGCGGTTTGAGCCCAAGAAATCTTATGCCCAAGTTCCTCGTCGCGATCGCGACAAGAATCAGTACATTCCATTGAACGCATCGGTATCAGCTATTTTGGATAAATTCGAAGAAGCTAATCTACTCGGAGAGCCAATGCCCATGAAAAATCCTCCTTTAATAAGAAAAAAAATATTGCTGTTATCATCGGGACAATGGGCACCATAGTCGAATGCCAAGCTCTTAAGCAGGCTGTTGAAGACCTCATTAAAAAATGGAACTTCAAGGAGTATGTTGACGGTCCAACTCTCGTTCGGGAGAAGGATCAAGAGGAAGATGGGAAGAAGCGTCATGGTCGAAGGGCCTCCATTTAGTCGAAATTATATTTAGTGGGTCACACCTCGCGGGGAATTCTCGAGATGCTTAAAAGAAAATGGAGGGTTTAGGAACCTCTCCATTTCAAGGTTCTGTTGCTTCATTTGCTCAATCAGCGAAGTGATTTGCCCATAAGCCAGCTTAAGGTCTGTCTGTAGTGCCTTCTTCTTTTTCTCTAAGTTTTCCCATAACTCAGCTCGAGTCTTTTCTGTTGCTTTTTCGCGATCTGAAGTCACTTATAGCTCATTTTCTCTTTGGCCTAACTCTTTAGTAAGCCTCGCTAGCTCTTTGTTATCGCTACTTTCTTCTCAAGCTTGATCTTTTGGAAATCTGCTGCTCGCATAACAGAATTCCTTTCAGTTAGATATATGTTCGCCTGAATGTGGGCGGCATTTGCTTCTTCATCTGAAGTCGCAAGATCTTGCATCAATTTGGCAATTTCCTCTTTCATGTCATGGAATTTGCCTGCAAAATTGATCTTCATCTTATTGTGGGCCATATTTAGGGCTAGTAAAGACTACATAGAAAGGAATAAAGAGTTACTTTTTTCTCAAAAAGCTAAAAGATTGACTTATATGAAGGAATTTTAGAAGAGAGCAAGTTATTTTACCTAACTTTGCATTTGAAATGCAATGGCAACCAAGTTAGTAGGTCGAGAAGCCACGAACCTATCAAAGGTTATAAGAAGTTGGCATTCTAAAAAGGTGTAAACCACCAGTCGTAAATGGTATGTTAGTTACACTAAAAGATCCAACACCGATAGGTCAAGTCTTGTCATGGCAAGAACCCCTTCGACTTGTTGCTGGCCTGCCTATTGCTCACCTGCTTCCCCTTAAATGGCCGTGGTCGCTCCCTCTTTCCCTTGCGAGCTCTTAGGGGTAGTCAAGGGCCCGAGAGCGTTTTCGAGGTTGTCCTCGTAGAGAAATGTTGATAGGGCTATAACCTATTTGGTAATATCCTGAAACCTTCTGGCTCAGATTTGGTTTCCTCTTCGGTGGGTATTGTCTTTCTCTTCTTTGACTTTTGGCCTATGGTTTTCTTCTTTAGCGGGCGAGAAGTGGCAGGCCAGGGAGCTTCTTCATGTCGCCTAGTGGTTTGTTGCCTTTCGACACCAATTTGTATCCCCCTTGTAGGGATATCGCTGGAGGTCGCTCCAACTGGTTCAGTTGGATTGATCCAGGGGAATGAGAACCCCCCAGGCTTCTTCATCGTTTTCGCGACCTTAAGTGGCATAGTTGCCACATGGCATAAGGATGCACAACAGAGAAAGTTTTTTTTTGTTAATAAAGACTTAAAAGTTTTTCTATATAAGAAATACTTACAAGCCGGACCTTTTAAACATGCGTCAGAGGTGAAAAACTCGTACTTCCACAAGTTAGCAGTAGTCACGAGCAGCCTTGAGTCGTGACTCTAATCGGGCAATGGCCCAAATGCTTCAATGTAGCTGCGATCAACTAGTGCCGACAATCTGGTCATGTTGTTTTCTATAAGAAAACAAAATGTTCGTTAGCCTAATATATTAAGGAAGAGTTAAAGCTAAAAGATGAGCGATCTAGAAATTAGAAGGAAAACTTACTCGGGTCCTTAAAATTACAGACTCCATCGTACTTGAAGAAAAAATACTTGGTTTCATAAGCTCCAATGTTGCTGGGGTAAGCAAATATCCCTCCCTCGATTGTTGATCGCTTGGAGAGTACGAATCTTTATCTCTACTCCTCTTTAAGTAATAGGCGCAACTGAGTTTCTCTGTTGTTGGCTTGCCGAGGTTGTGCTCACCAAATGCGATATACATAGCGATCGCTATCATATATGCATTTGGCGTCAACTGGAATGGCGCGATCTCGAAGTGGCCAAGGATCGACCTGATGTAGTGGTGAAGGGGAACCCTTACTCCACATTTAAAGATCGCTTTGGAGATCGCAGCCATTCCCTCAGGAGGATCCTAAGCAGTATGCGACTTGTACTGATACACGTACATGTTGATCGCGTACTAGTCTATTACTTTCTGAATTTCTTCCTTTGTAATGGTAGATCGTATCACCTTTCCAAGACCTGCTGAGGTGCTTGGTGGTTGTGAGCTTCCCTCTTTGGCTGCTCTCGCCTCGGGAATTTCTAGTGCTCTTAGAGTTTGTAAAAGGGCGACATGTAGGGCTGACTCAAACTTTGCATAAGTTACCTCAGGAACCCTAGTTTCTCTTCCATAGCCGCTAAAACCCTAAAAACCCAAAAAATTCTTAAGAAAGATTTTCTAAAGATCTGTGCCCTAAGTTTTGACTCTTAAAAGTGTTTCTTTTCAAACACTACCCAAGAATGCTCACACCTAAACCTACCAGACGTTCACACCCACCATTACTATAAAGACCTAGTTTTTCTAACAGGAATGTAAAAGAGAAAAAAAAAATTTCTTTACCTCTTCATTGCTGGGAATAGATGTCCTGTCATAGCGTTGAGTGCGCATCAACTAGGAAGAGGATGAACTAATCTCTTGAGTGCAAAAACGTTGTTTTTTTCTCTCTAAAAGCTTAAGTTCTATGAAAAACTTAGAATGGGCTTTGGGTTTTATAGGGAGGGAGACGACACTTGGTTTCTTTTACAAGCGACATTTGGGCAGGGACGCGTTTCCAGCCATTGATTATGACCACATTTCATTAATCTGTGCGAAGAGTAACCCTCATGCTTCGTGAAGATCAGTCGGCGTTTTTCTTTATGGAAATCGCCAAACGCCGGTGTGATTATCTCCTCCACATTAAATGCACCCTCATCTGCATTTATTGCTTCAAAAGGGCTTCAAAAGGGAATGTCATTTCAACATGACTTGCATTTAATGCTCATGGCTGACACTTATTATGCAGAGACATGTCTGTCAGATAAAGCTCATTTTATTGACCAAGACAGATGTCAACCGCAATGGATAACATATAAGGAGGTCGTTCGAATAAGACATCTTTTCCACGTGTCAAATTCAAACACCGAGCAAAATGATTCTAAATTTTCGATAGCAAAATTTTTTAAGTGTTTTCAGGTCGTGAGTGATGGGTAAGACCCGAAACAAACTATGATAGCACCGAGCATGATCTGAATTAGGTCGCTGGACTTTTGTGAAACGATCACATTAGGTCGCTTGTGTAGTTCTCGAAAACCCATGTCATGTTCTACACTTAGTTTGTTGGTCGAGTCAAACTATCAACCTCATATCGTTTGTAACAATGTGGCTCGAGACAAATCAAGTCATGACATATTCATGAAGTTCTCAAGATTCAATCTTTGAACCTTAAGAATTAGGGAGCTTTTGTTATGCCTAAAAAATCAGGGCTGATGCTAGCCTACGTCAGCAAGCACCAATTATAGTTCAGGAAGGCTTTGCGCCGCCCAAGAGCTGCCACATCACTCCATGACCGAAGAAGTATGGTTGTCATCAACTAGGCAGATTCAAGTTTGTCTACGAGTGATTGGGGGCCGCACACCTGTCCAAGCCCCAAGTAATTTGAGGATTTTTCCTAAGTTATCAGCCAATGAGAGGCAAGGAAGAACTTGCACGACACTTGCGCTCTTGCAGATTTGTAATAGTTGCCTTGAATTCCTCTACTATAAATAGAGGACTCTCCCTTCTCATTTTCGGGATTCTGAGACTGAACTCGCTTTTTAATTGTAATCTTTATTTTCAAAGCAAAGATAATCTACGAGAAAGAGACTAACTTGATATTCTCTCTGAATATTCAGTTATTGTACCTTTGCTCTTTGTTCGTTATACGTGACCTTTTGTAATCTCTCATATAATAAAATAACAGTGGATGTAGGATTCGCTTTAGCCAGCTGAACTACTTTAAAAATCATATTTCTCATTTATTATTCAATCTTTGTATTTGATCGTAAGTCTTCATGTGTAATTTCTAAGAATAGCTTAACACTTTGCACATGCGAGGTCCTTGATGTCAAAAGCACGCATCAACAATTATGAAGACATCAACTGTCAATTTTATTTCATTTAAGGCGAATTGTAAATATCTCCATTGCCATTAACAAGAAATTAAACTGTAGAAAGATTATGTTTCAACACTTCATTTATCACCAACCTTAATCAATTCTTAATATGATACATTAAAGAACTATATATTATAGCAAACTCACACTAATCTCTCAGCAATCACAAACAAAAAAAAAAAAAAAAAAATTAATAGCTTCAGGTTGAAAATTTTTCAGCTGTTTATTATAATACATGAAAGAAAATGCCTGAATAGTCAAGTATCAGCTTTTCGAGAATTTAGAAGATCCGTTGTTGAGCCTGCTGATGTTGACGAATATGTAGAGTAACTGTTAACTGATGATTGCGTGACGCCGGAAGATTTGTAGGTGAACTTACAGAGATCCATGGGCGGTGCATAATACATTGGCACCGGCAACTTTGAGGGAAGGCTGGGCAATGGAGCCTGAAAGTTGAGAACATTTATCACTTGTCTTATAGATGGACGAAGAGTGTAATCAGGATGGCAGCACCATAACCCAATTATCATCAAACATTCCATTTGCCTCTCATCGAAATCTCTCATTAATCTCTTGTCCGCAGCTTCAAGAAGTTGGCCTTTTCCGTAGAGGTCCCAGACCCACTCCACTAGCCTTACTTTACTCGGTTCTTCCCTCGGTTCAACTGGCCTTCGTCCACATGTGATTTCGAGGGCGACAACTCCAAAGCTATAAACATCGGATTCTTTACTCGCCTTGCCGGTTGTGACGCATTCCGGAGCAAGGTAGCCCAGGGTGCCGGCCAAAACTGTAGTCTGCGAGCCCAAATCATGGTCTACAAGTCTTGCAAGACCGAAATCGCCTAATTTGGCGTTGAAATTGGAATCCAACATGACATTGCTAGACTTGATATCTCTGTGAACAACGCATTGTTCCCACTCTTCATGAAGATATAACAAAGCAGAAGCCAAGCCAAGCGCTACTTTGTAACGTACAGTCCAAGAAAGCATGGCCTTTCCGCCAAAGAGGTGAGCATCAAGGCTTCCGTTTGGCATGAATTCATAGACAAGAAGCAATTCACCTTGTTGGTGACACCAACCAAACAGGTGAACCAAATTTCTATGTCTCAAACGACTAATGATCCTCACTTCTGAAATGTATTCCTTTTTCCCTTGTTTTGATCCTCTTGAGACCCTCTTGACAGCCACTTCTGTGTTCTGATCGCTCAGTGAACCTTTATAAACACCGCCAAATCCTCCCTCCCCTAACTTGCCTCCCTCTGCAAAGTTGTTTGTGGCTCGACTCAGTTCACGATAAGTGAACCTTTTAGGTCCTGTCCCCTTTTCGAATTCGTCGTCTATAGCTTCATCAATGGCCTCATCTTCCGTATTCACACCTGCCGTCTTTCTCCACCAGATGAACAAAATCACACCCAATCCACATATTAAAGCGCCAATACCCACAGTTAAACCAGCAATTAACCCAACATTGGTTTTTCCTTTAGTCTCATCCAAGGTTGAACTAAAACTCCAAGAAATTATGTTATGTATTTCAACAACCTCACTTGTAGATGCAGAGAAACCTACCTTAACCCGTTCCGGGAGAACTTCCCTCAAATCAACAATATACCAAAGACTAGAATTGCCAATGAAGACAGGTTTATCCACATAAGTTAGAAAGACACTTAAATTTTGTGTACCAGAGTTGTAACTCACCCAAGCATTAGCCCTTGATCCATTCTTAATGCTGCTTTTCCAGTCGACAGTCGCTACAGAGATAATGGAATTAACGTTGATTCCTACATGATCAGAGCTCGGATCCCATTCATTTTGGAAACTATCAAACTCCACCGCAACAATTTGCTTGGAAGTATTAGTTTTCGCAGTATCAGGACTAAACAGTGCCAGATATCCACCGGTTGAGTTGTCAGGAATCGTTGAATCAAATGGAGCAAAGAAGAAAGTTATACCGTCTCCATTATTAGAAGTATTAAGTGCCCTAATAATAAAGGAGAAGTGGGCTGTGAAGTCTGTAAGCCTCCGAGTCTTGGCATCCCAAATAATCACAGGTTGATTATATGTGGCGCGGCCAACACTTCTTGTGAGGTTATTATCTGCTTGATTCTTCGTCAATTGGAGGACATCATTAGATGGGAATGCATCTCCTTCAAATATTATATTGGGAATGTTTGTTGGGAAACTGGAATAATTGAAAGAAACAGAACTTGCAAAGGGGAGCAGTAACAGGATCGAGAAAATCATAAAATTCGGAAACATAAGCGAACAGTTTTGTTTAGATTGAAGTTGGCAGGAGAAAGCCATGACTGAATTAGGGCATATAGATGGCGAGAAAGAGAATGAACATAAATGGGATGGAGAGACAAAAGTAGTTCACCTATGTCATCGTCCCAATGGATCTTTGCTTGGTTTTATCAAATATCAACCTGGTCAAGTTGAACTGTTCTTGATTAATAATTAAATATTGCGTACTTTTATTAAAATAATATGACCCTGGTTCCTAATCGGATACACTCGCTTCCAAGTTTATTGTTTGCGGAAGTCTCGTCTATTGGACCTATCCTGAGACTTTGATGAGATGCAAGCGAATCTCAAACGTTAAATACAAGTTTTGGACGGAGTAAAGTGACAGGCGGTCGGGATTACCGCGGCACAATATTCTTTTGAAGCTAAGGAATCAGAAAATCGGCATACTAGAGAAACGTATCATACTCATTACTCCATTCACTATTTCAAAATTTTGTACGTATTTGAGACTTTCGGTTTTATTACACGGCTTCAATACGTCTGTGCCAATTAGAGACGGTGGGATACGACAAAGGGATGAAATTAAATTACACAAACGGAAAGCACTGGAGACAAGTAGCCGAATAATATTGTTTAATGTTTAAAACAGTACCTAACACCAAAACAATTAAATCCGCCGGTTGCCGTCTTGTTCTGAGTTGGTTAGGTTGATTTCTTAAGGAATGACATGTGTAAATCGTCGTCCTTCCTAGAACAATCGTATTAAATTTACTAATAGTTAGTTTTATATAGTTGGTTTTCGTCCAATTTCAAGAGCTGTGCACGTAACGCGATATGTAATAGCAATCATAGTCATGACAATATTTCTGCCAAAGCTATTAATCGTCCATTCCGAATGTAATTCCCAGCATTTATATATGTCCAATAAATAAACTTGTAGGTTTGGATAATTCAAGGAACTAAATTGATTGTTTCGATACAAATGCATGGAACATGTTAATTTAAGTCTATGCGAGTCTCTTTCTCAAACTCAACCTAATCAAATTAAGTATCCAGCTACAAAAGGCAGGAAACAATACTAAAGCCATACCAAAACTTTGCTTTACCCCTTGGACATATATGTCAGTTTTACATGCTCTGTTAAGTAGAGTTGAATTTCAAATTGAAAATAGAATAAATAGAAGATTTAGCATACTGACAAAAATTAAGCCCATGTTTGTTACACTTTTTTTGATTATTATTATATTATTATATTTAGATTAAAAAATAGGATATGTGTTTGTTTACTTATTAGACCAATCCAATTTGAAAATTAATCCAACTCAAATAAGATTTTTTGTCTAAAAATGAAAAGTGGGTGGGAATTGTTTTCAGATTATTCAATTTTATTCAAGTGAAAACATTTTTTAAACTCTATTCAATTAAAAACATTTTTTTTTTTTTTTTCTTTCTTTTTCTTTTTGTCGTCATTTTTCCCTCCTTCCCATCTGAAAATTAATCCACTTAAGACCACCACCGCTTGCCAGCAACCATCGTCGACCTTTGGCCACTGCCATTGTTGTAGGTGGCCACCATTGACCGACATAGTCGGAATGGGGCATGACTGACTGGTCATGCGTCGATCTGGCCGTTTCTAACCAGATCCATGAAAAGGTCAAATCTACAGCCAGATTCTGGTCGAGATCTGGACATCGACGACGACTAGATTTGGTCGATAACAGCCAGATTTTGACCATAGATATGGTCGAAAATGACCATATGGCGCACCACTGACTAGATCCAATCGATCGTGCGCCGTTTTGGCAATTGTTGGTTGTCATCCGACGGTGGTGGCCAGCAGTCGGTTGTCTTCTTCGGTGGCTGTAGTGCTTTAGTTAATTTTTAAACTTTTATTGTGGAGGTGTTTAGCTAAATTAACAAATATAGAGAATTAAAAAAACAATCTAAATATTTTCAAAAAATGTACCAAACAACTATTCTGTTCTAAAAACCTTTTTTAAAAAAATGTTCTAAACAACTATTAAACATTTTATCAAACTCTGATATACTTTTCAAATATTTTACAAAACACATTTTCAGAATTAATTCAACTCAACTCAATTTAAAACACCTTTTCAGAATAACATTTTTCAAATAGTCTACCAAATAGGTCTTTAATTTTTACGAGTGTCTTTTTTAGTAATTTCAAATAAAATTTAAAAGAATCAACATGGCTCTTTGTTATCGAAGCGGTGTCATTTAAGTTCCACAAAATTTCTTTTCAAACCCCAATAATAATTGCTTAAACAATATATATTTTAAATTAATATATACCAAGGACATTTATTCTTTAGCACACCCCATTTATCAGAAAACTCTTTACCTAGAGTTTTTTCTCAATACCCCAAATCCCTTTTTTATTTTCTTTTAAATTGTAGTTTTAAAATTATGTTATTACGAGTAATTTTCTATTTCTATATTTTTTTTTAGGGATGGAAGATGGAATCCGATATAGGAATAAAATAATACGTTTGGTACACTTTTTTTAATAGGATTTCTAAAATCTCATTTTGAATGTATTTTAAGATCGGATTCTAAGAATGTAGTTGATACATTATTGAAAAACATTTTCTAAAAATATTTAGATTATTTATTAACCCCCTATATTTGTTAATTTAACTAAACACCTCCATAAAAAAATTTTAAAATTAACAAAAACACCCCCACCCAGCTAACTTTTTGTCGGTAGCTGGCTACCACTGTCGAACAGTGGCCATCAATCACCGGAATGGCATACGATCGGCTGGATCTAGCTAATATTGCCTTTTCTGACTAGATCCATTATGAACCTAGCTGGAAAAGGCAAAATCTATGGCCAGAATCTGGCCGTCGTTAACGGTTAGAATCTAGCTGTTAGCGACGGCCAAGATATGACAATTGTCAATGGTCAGATTTAGCTGTAGTTATGATTGTTTTTGGCTAGATCCATGGTGGATCTGGCCGAAAAAAGAAAAATTGGCGTATGATCGGCCATATTCGGCCGGTCATGTGCCATTCCATCGACTAACGGCCATCGTCCAGCAGTGGTGGTTGACTGCTAGCAAAAAGTTGGATGAGTGGTGGTGTTTTTATTAATTTTATAACTTTTTATTAAGAAATATAATTATTAAATGTTTTGAATTGAATAAAATAGGATTGGATTTGGAAGAATATTAAGACAATATTTTTCATTTTTTAAGATAGGATGATAGAATATGAGAGGGTAAGAATAGCTAAACAAATGCAGTGGAATATTCCCGGTGGTTGTTATTGCTTAGAGTTGAGAAATGCAGCTTAACAGTTAAGTATGTGTAAACTACTATTTAATCTTCGTCTACGGAAAGGAACTGAGATTTAAGTAAAAAGAAAAATTGACGTCCGGAATTTAAATTGGAGAAAAAATAGGGATGACATAACAAAATTTTTAAGGAAAATTATTAGAGAAGGACAATTTTTGAAGAAACACAAGGGCCCGTTTAATATACAATTTGAATTTTTTTGTTTTTGAAAACAAGAGATACAATAAATCTTATGAAAATAAGTTTGGTAAAAATGAATAAAATTTTATTAAAAACAGTTTTCGAATACAATCCTAAAACCTAGTGTAAAATTAGAATATGTCAAAAGTTGGTTTCATAGTTTTCTACAGTTTTTTATCTGAAAATAGTTTTTAAATTTATATCATAGACTTTTTCAAATATTAAGAATATTAAAATACAATTAAAAAATTCAAATCGCATTTTAATTTTTGAAAATTATATTTGAATCATAAATCAAATAAGCCCTTTTAAAATGATTAAAATTATTATTGCGGTTTAGGAAGAGATTTAGTAGGCTAAACAACATCTTTCTTATTGTCGCATTCGGCCCACAAAGGGTTGGGCCTAAGTATTGGAAAGTAAATTTGGGTCTTATGAATCCTTGATCAACATATTGCATTTTCATTGTCTATAGGTTCATTTGTCTCCACACCACTTCCCTCTCCTTTTATTTATCTCTTTCGATTATAAACAATGAAACATGTATCCCAAAGTATTAATGGAAGTTACGTGCAACATAACATTAATGAACATTAATGATATGTAGAATAAGAACAATGCTTACTATTAAATCAATAGCAATGAATTTAAGAAATTAACTGATCATCAGAAAGATTATTCTAAGTGTAAACTGTTTTAATTTAGTACATGGTAAATGGCGACGGTTGGAAGAATTGGTATCTCAGCCTCATATTTTAGAACTTGAAGTACAGTGTGCCTTACGGATGGCCTCAGTCTGTGATCAGGGTGAGGTCTCATCCAAGGTTGAGCTAAAACTCCAAGAAATTATGTTATGTATTTCAACAACCTCACTTGTAGATGCAGAGAAACCTACCTTAACCCGTTCCGGGAGAACTTCCCTCAAATCAACAATATACCAAAGACTAGAATTCCCACTGAAGACAGGTTTATCCGCATAAGTTAGAAAGACACTTAAATTTTGTGTACCAGAGTTGTAACTCACCCAAGCATTAGCCCTTGATCCATTCTTAATGCTGCTTTTCCAGTCGACAGTCGCTACCGAGATAATGGAATTAACATTGACTCCTACATGATCAGAGCTCGGATCCCATTCATTTTGGAAACTATCAAACTCCAACGCAACAATTTGCTTGGAAGTATTAGTTTTCGCAGTATCAGGACTAAACAGTGCCAGATATCCACCGGTTGAGTTGTCAGGAATCGTTGAATCAAATGGAGCAAAGAAGAAGGCTATACCGTCTCCATTATTCGAAGTATTAAGTGCCTTAATAATAAAGGAGAAGTGGGCTGTGAAGTCTGTAAGCTTCCCAGTCTTGGCATCCCAAATAGTCACAGGTTGATTATATGTGGCGCGGCCAACACTTCTTATGAGGTTTTTATCTGCTTGATTTTTCGTTAATTGGAGAACATCATTAGATGGGAACGCATCTCCTTCGAATAATATGTTGGGAGTGTTTATTGGGAAACTGGAATAATTGAAAGAAACTGAACTTGCAAAGGGGAGCAGTAACAGGATCGAGAAAATCATAAAATTCGGAAAACTAAGGCAGTTGTTATGTTTAGAATGAAGTTGGTAGGAGAAAGCCATGGTTAAATGGCATAGAGAGAAGAGAATGAACGTAAATTGGATGGAGAGATGAAGGATGGGAACACATCTTAAACGTTGAATGCAAGTTCCGGACAAAGTAAAGTGACAGGTGGTCGGGATTATCGTAGCGCAATTGACAAATTTAGAAGCAGTCCACCAATTTGAAGCTGAAGCCAAAAAGAAAAGCACCTACTGCTAGGTCGGCATATTAGCTGGAGAATCGAATTATACTCAATTGACTTGTTTGAATTTTTGTATGTAATCGACATTTTTCTTGTACATTACACGGCTTCAATACGTCTATGCTAGTAACTTGCATCTTATGCAAAAGCGAGTGTGATATGGACAAAGGGATGAAATTATTTTACATAAGCAGAAAGCACTCGAGGCCGGCTAAGGGTTGGGCCTAAGTATTGGGACGTAATTAACTTGAATTTGGCTGTTTTGAGTTTTGAATCCTTCAACAGTTCCTAAGATGTTGATACAACCCCTTTCTCTTGTATCATGATTTCTCTCTTCAAGCAAGATTTAGGTAAAAAAGAAGATATACCAAGCTAGTCAGTTTCCAGTGAAAAGCCTACAATACAATACAAAGAATCTGCTTATGGTTACTCAACCAGTTATGATAGAAGCCTTACGTAAATGATTGTATTTCTTCAATTTGTTTGAAAGCTTTCCCTTAGACAATATAACGTCTGGAAATTTTAATGCAAAGTCGTCAAAGTTTACAATTAAAATCCTGAAACCTAACTCTTAAGGGCCCGTGATAACTGACCCATAATTTTGCTTTTCAGGCCGGCAGACTGCTCTATTAAGCACAAACAAATGTCAATCTGGGGTGTGTTTGAGGGTGTCACTGTCTCTACATATAAGTCTTCGGGTTTACCAAGCAAATAACTGTAAACTATCAGAAAATATTTATATATACATGCAATGAGGCTTGGCCACATGAAATGGGGATTAATTCACAACTCTTATTAATGAATGAACTTTGTTTCAGAACCAAAAGCTTTAGTGTCAAGAAGAGAGAAAAAAAAAAAAAAAAAAAAAACTGAAAAGTGGAAGCCTGGAACACACCAGCTGTAAAAGCCAGGGACTCAAGCGTACACGAGCTCGCAGCTTAAGCCCATCAGCAATCAGAATTTTCTTTATTTTAGCTTAACTTGATATGAAGAATGACAACAACGTCTACAATTGAAGCAATGGTCATGACTTAGAAGTTAACATATCAGAAAAGAATATTAATCTAAAGTGTAAACCTATGATTTAACGACCTAAATTAGCACTTGTAAAAGTCATAAAGGCTTGACTTGAACTGGATGAAGAGTTAGGTTCATGATAAATGGCTACAGGCATCATCTTAGGAAGAATTGGTATCTCAGCCTCATAATTAAGAACCTGAACAGCTTGCCTTATGGATGGCCTCAGCCTATGATCAGGATGAGCACACCATAATCCCAGCATCATCAAACGCTTCAACGGTTCGACTTGGAAATCTCCCAAAAGTCTCTGATCGGCAGCTTCAACGAGACTTTCTTTTCCATAGAGCTTCCAGACCCATGATACCAGTGTCATCTGTAAATCATCTAATATTCCGGGTTCAGTTGCTCTTCTACCGCAAATGATTTCTAGTATCACCACTCCAAAGCTAAATATATCAGATTCCTTACTAGCCTTGCCCGTGCTGATGTACTCTGGCGCCATGTAACCGAAAGTACCAGCTAGCCCTGTGGTCTTGGGGCCGAGCTCACGATCAATAAGTCTTGCGAGGCCAAAATCACCAAGCTTGGTGTTGAAACTTATATCTAACATAACATTGCTGGGCTTTATATCCCTGTGCACCACACATTGTTCCCATCCTTCATGCAAATATAGCAATGCAGAGGCCAAGCCAACAACAATCCTGTATCTGATTCCCTACGAGAGCATTCTATATTCTGAGAAGAGATGAGAATCAAGGCTACCATTTGGCATGAACTCATAAACAAGAAGAAATTCACCTCTTTCATGACACCAACCTATGAGTTGCACTAAATTTCTATGCCTTAAACTGCTGATTATCATCACTTCAGACTTGTATTCTTTTCTTCCTTGTTTAGATCCTTTAGAATTGAACCTCTTAACAGCTATATCTAAATTCCAGTTACTTAAAACACCTCTATAAACATCTCCAAAACCTCCTTGACCGAGTTTCCCTTCCTCTGCAAAGTTATTTGTAGCTTGTTCCAGCTCGCTACAAGAGAATCTCTTTTGCCCGGATCCTGATCTGGCAAGTTCATCATCAATAGAGTTATCGACAACGATCATAGGCACATGATTTTGTCGCTGATCTCCATCTCTCTTCCTCCTATGCAAGAATAACCATAACAAAACAAGCACCACCCCAATCAAGAAAAAAGTACTACAAGCTCCTATTATTGTTGCCAATGCTAGATTGATCACCTTCGTTTTCTTGTTGCCGCAATTAGTTCCATTTTGAGCTTCAAAATTGGCCTTTAAGTTTGAACTAAATTGCCACGAATAAATGCTATATGTCCTGGTGAACTCTCCTGCGGCAGCTGAAAAGCCAATAGTAACCCATTCTGGTAAGTAGTTTATTAGATCTAATTTGCTGCAGAGATTAAGAATTCCACTCAATACAGTATAGTCAGCTTGATCAATCAACGTAACACACAAATATTTCGTACTAGAATTATACTCGACCAACACATTGAGTCTTTTCTGTGCAGTAGTACTTGGCAATCTCCTGAACTCGGAACCTGTGGAGTTAATATGCACTCCAACAAACTGATTATCGAACTCCACAGCGACAAAATGATTTTTTGTCGAGTTTGTAGAGTCGTTATTGCCAGTAACAAGACCAAGGAACCCACCACTGGAGTTCGGAAGCATAATAGAGCCATTTGTAGTGAGGAAGAAAGAAAGCCTAGCACCGGGAAGATCCTCATCGCCAGAGGCCACCGCGAAGGAGAAACTTGAAGTGAAATCAGCAACCCTCCTAGTGGCATTATCCCACAGATGCACTGGCTCTTTATAGATGGCTCTCCCACTGAAATTGACATCGCCTTGGCTGCCTGCAGTTAGCTGGATGACATGATCTCTAGCATTAGCATCACCCTGGCAGAGTATGTCACTGTGTTCACTGAAACATGTAATATTGAATGAAATTGAGTTTACAGAAAAAATATGTAGCAAAATGAGGAAAACCCTGAAGGCCCCAAAGTAAAAATTTCTAGCTGGATTTGATTGCAGGAATGAATGTATTGATTTGCAGAATTCCATCATGAATTGGAGTGGTAGGATAATGTAAGTGTTGAAGATTGGTGTATATAAATTCTCATATGTCCGAATGTTTGTAGCAGGTGAGACATCAGTGTCCTTTGTGGCCGGATTCTAGTGTTAGTTCTGTGCAGTTTCCTATACCAAAAATTGGTAAGTGTTAGACTTAGTAGGTCCTGAATTAAAATTCTTTTGATCATGACTTTCCAGGATTAGTATTGACAGAAAGCGAAGTTCAAATTATGGTTTCAGGGTTGGGTCATTTTCACCTGATTAATTAACCTGGTCGGCCAAGTATTATATCTATCATGTGGAATAATAGATAAATTAGATTTGACAGTAACAGGCAAAACAAGAAATAAACCGACAACAGGTGTTTACCGAGGTTTTACATGGACACCCCTAAGGTTTAGTGAAAAAAAAAGATACATAGATTTTAAAATGAGACACTTACATCCTCGTAGTCTAAGAATGGAATCGCTTGTATGTTTGTAATTGAATGATGTTTGTGAAAAATAACTATTTGATATTTTAATTATGTAACAAATGTCAAATATTAGCTTTTTTTTTTCTTTATTATGGAAGAAAAGGCAAAATAAGAGTACATTAGTTATTGTACCAAGATTATGTGTCTGTATTAACTTTTTAGAAGTATCTGTCAATNCAGGCTATTGTTGATCTTGCTATCATTATTTCATTTGCATTCTTTTAACTATTAATAAACTTTTGTTCTTTTGTTCCAGCTTATATATGGAGATACTACTATATATAAATCCTTGGTTCGAATGGCACAGGAAAATGATGGAATTTTAAGGACACTTTTGTGGGATTGAGTTCGATTGCTTGGCTTACATCATTGAAGCTTTAAAGGACACTTTTTTTCTTGGTTTTCTCCTCACTAAAATTGAGAAGAGACTTTGGGTTAATTTTGTTCAATTGGATTTACTTTTGAGTTCTCGAATAGCTTTTTATATGGAGCTGCTCAACAACTATGTTTAAGACTGTTTTTGTGATCCTTTAGATCCTATCATTTCTGGAAAACAGGTTCACTCTTTTTAATTATTCTTCTCAAATCAATGATATTCTCTCCTTTTCTTTTTTCTCTGGGGAAAATGAGGGAAAATGAGGGAAAATGTAAATCCCTTCTCTCATTTATGTGAAATTCACTGCATGGTTTTTCTTGTAGGATTTCTCTTTAAGATTTCCTTTAATTCAAGGGTATGGGAATTTTGGTATGATTGATGAAGATCCTCCTGCTGCCATGCATTATACTGCGTGCAGATTGGATGTATTTATTATAATTTTAGCTCATTTGAACTTATGTTGCTCTGCTTGGATGAATTTTCTTAATTGAAGATGTTTTTCTTTAACTGAAATAATTCATGATTTGATAAATTGTATCGTAAATTTTGATCTAAAACGAACATAAATTTCTACCAATCCTTGTATATGTTATGCAACGGAAACATAAACTCTAACGCTAGCTATTGAATATAATAATAACAAGTAGTAAAGCAGAAATAAAGGGCCAAAATTAAATGCAAAAATAAAGAATACCAAGAATTAAAGAGGTTCGGTATTGTAACCTATGTCCTCGGACGTTGCAAAAGAATACTCCACTATCTCCAAACAATATTACAAACTTTTGGGCAATACAGCAAATACCCAAAACAAATGGGAGATACAACAAAGCTTTTAAACTAAATGGTCCTTAATGAAAGAACCCTATACAAGAGAAGTGTAAAGAAAATACAACTTGGGATACAAATAACAATGATTTGGGTCCTTATATATAGGCCCCCAAAGTTTCCCACTTTTCATTCCTAAGAAATGTGGGACAAACTAACTTTTTGGCCTATTACATATAAGTCCCTAAACCTTTCTCCATTATCACTTCTATCCTATGTGATTTTGCTAAATGAGCCATTTTTCCAACAAATCTCCACCTTGGCGAATTAGCAAACCTTCAAAGTTTTGTATTCTTCTGTCAAATTTTGCAACACCTTCAAATGCGCCAAAAAGCATAGTCAAGCTCGTAGGATATTGATCAAGTTCAAACAATGATTGAACTTGATCATTGTCACTACTTTTGTTAAGACATCTGCAGGATTCTCAGCAGTCCCAATCTTCTCTAATAAGATTCTTCCTTCAGAAATAATTTCCCGCACAAAGTGGTAACGAACATCTATATTCTTGGTGCGAAAGTGGAATACTGGATTCTTTGCTAAGTGAATAGCACTCTGACTGTCAGAATAGATAGTGATCTTCTTCTGACTAATTTTCAATTCATCCAATAGCCCTTGTAACCAAATAACTTCCTTCACAGCCTCTGTAACTGCCATGTATTCTGCCTCTGTAGTAGACAAAGCAACTGTAGACTACAAAGAAGATTTCCAACTTACTGGAGCTCTAGCAAGAGTAAATACATATCCAGTAGTTGACCGACGCTTGTCCCCATCACCAGCATAATCAGAATCAACATACCCAACAACAAATTGACTAAGATTTTCATCCCGCTCAAAAACCAAACCAATGTTTACATTACCTATAATATACCATAAAATCCACTTCACAGCTTGCCAATGTCCTTTACCAGGATCATACATATACCTGCTCACAATTCCAACTACATGTGAAATGTCGGGCCTAGTAGACACCATTGAATACATCAATCTACCAATCGCATTTGAATACGGAACTTTTGACATATACTCTTGTTCTTCATGCGTACTTGGAGATAATGATGCACTAAGCTTTATATGAGGAGCAAGTGGAGTACTTATAGGTTTTATACTTTCTGTTATGCCAAAACATTGTAAGACCTTCTTTAGATACTGCTTTTGTGTCAAACAAACCTTGCCATTTCCTCTGTCTCTAATTATGTCCATACCAAGAATCCTCTTGGCTTCTCCTAACTCCTTCATCTCAAATTCTTGATTTAGTTGAGCCTTTAACTTCTCAATTTCTTCTACTTTCTTTGAAGCAATCAACATATCATCAACATATAAGAGTAGATAAATGAGAGTATCACCTTGTAGCCTTTGAAAGTACACACAGTTGTCAAATTTGCTTCTTGTGTACTTCTGACCCATCATAAACCTATCAAATCGCTTGTACCACTGCCTCGGAGATTGTTTCAAACCATAAAGCGATCTTTTCAGTTTACAAACCCAATCTTCCTTCCCAATAATCCTAAATCCTTCTGGCTGAGTCATATAGATTTCTTTTTCCAAATGACAGTGTAGAAACGCGGTTTTCACATCAAGTTGAACAAGTTCAAGATTCATCTGAGCAACCAAGGCCAACAAAATTCTAATGGAAGAACGTTTTACAACTGGAGAAAATACCTCATTGAAATCTATTCCTTCCTTCTGAGTGTAGTTGAGCATAGCCTTTCGCCACCAACCTTGCCTTGTATCGGATGTCTTTCAAATTCGAAAATCCTTCTTTCTTTGCATATACCCATTTGCACCTAATTGCCTTCTTATTCTTTGGTAATTGAACTACCTCCCAAGTTTCATTCTTATGGAGAGATTGCATCTCATCTTTCATGGCTTTCTTCCACTTACAATTTTCGGAACTGCTAGCTACTTCATTATAAGTGGAAGGAACTTCACCATCTTCAATTGGGAGTGCATAGGCCACCGTATCAGCAAAACGAGCAGGCTTGCGAATTTCTCGTCTTGGCCTATTAACAGCAATGGATTCTTGTTGAGGTTCTTGGGAAGAATCTTCTTCTTCATCTCCAATAAACTCCTCTATCATAGGAGTCTCATTTCTAGCTAGGCTAACTGATGTTGTTTTAAACTCCATGTGCTGCTGAGTATGCTCTACTTGCTGTGGAGTACTGAAAACCTTCATCTGACTTCTTGTTTTCTTTTCTAACATAGAAGACTCATCAAATGTCACATCCCTACTAAACACTATTTTCTTCGAACTTGGACACCAATGACGGTATCCTTTCACACCTGAGGTAATCCCCATAAATACTGCTTTCTTTGCTCTAGGATCTAACTTAGACTCTTTCACATGATAATAAGTAGTGGAACCAAAAACATGTAAAGAGTCATAATCAAAAACAGTTTTTCTAGACCATACCTCAATCGGCGTCTTGCTTTCAATTGCAGTTGACGGTAGATGATTAATGAGATGACATGCATATATAACTGCCTTAGCCTAAAACTCTTTGCCCAACCCAGAATTGGACATCATACATCGAACTTTCTCCAGTATAGTTCGATTCATGCGTTCTGCCACCCCATTCTGCTGTGGTGTATTTCTTACTGTAAAGTGACGTACTATTCCTTCATCTTGGCAAACTTTCAAAAACGGATCACTACGATACTCCCCACCATTATCTGTACGTAGCTGCTTGATCTTTCTGCCAGTCTGAGTCTCAATCATCTTTTTCCATTTAAGGAAAACACCAAGTACATTATCTTTAGTTTTTATCACATACACCCAAACTCTTCTGGAAAAATCATCTACAAAAGTGACAAAATAGTGCATACCTCCCAAAGATGTTGTTTTGGTAGGTCCCTACCCATTAGAATGAACATAATCCAAAATACTCTTAGTATTATGGATTGCGGTGCCGAATTTCACTCTTGTCTATTTTCCCAGAACACAATGCTCACAGAAATCTAGCTTACAGGTATTTGCACCTTTCAATAAGCCTTGATTCACCAAACTAAGCAAGGCTTTTTCACCTGCATGCCCTAAACGCATATGCCACAGCATGAGCATTTCTGAATCTGCATCCTTGTGTACGACTGTAGTTGTTGTTTCAATAACCGTACTACCATTATAGTAATACAAGTTGTTTCTCCTTGTGCCTTTCATTACCACAAGAGCGCCTGAAGAAACTTTTAGAATTCCATCTCACATATTCACCGTGAAACCTTTAGATTCCAAGGCTCCCAAAGAGATGAGATTCTTTTTCAACTTCGGTACATACCAAACATCTGTCAGAGTTCTAGTTGAGCCATCATGATTCTTCAATT